ACTAGGTGTAGGGTACCCACAAAACAGGCACTGGGGGGATACACCAGTGTGTTTAGTTCTCTTGGTGTAATCTTGGAAGCTTGAAGGCAGTAGACAAGTAATGTGGACTGGTGCAAGATAAAAACACCATGGTGTCATCTAGATATTCACCAAGGAAAACTTCTTTCTAGTTGATGTATGAGCATACCATCTGAGAGAGGCAGATCTTGTAGTTCCTCTGTCACTCCCAGTTGAGGTAGGGCCTGCAGAGCCATTTGTGTAGAATCAATGGTGTCTTGCACCATCCAGTATTCTGCTGTCCTGTCAAATCCATATGCCCTTTCATCCTGTTACTCCTAGCTCAAAAAAAAGAGGATGAAGTCTCCAATCCTTGTGACTCTGGTTTTGTGATTTACATTTTATATCTAAAGACAGCTAACAGTGAGATGTTACTGGTGTTGCCTATTCTGTTTGGAGGGGTCCACTATCATAAAATTTTTGGGCGACAGTGACCTTCATGGCCACTGGGAAGACTGTCCTCACTCTGGTTTCAGGCTCGAGGTCAGTGTGGAGAAGGCAACACAGCTTGATGGTAGCCTTATTGGTGAAACAAATCCTCCTGCCTCAGGGCTAAGTATGAGTGGACCTCCCTGAAAGTATTTTGTGGCTAATGGTTTCTATGGGGAGCCTCCCTCCTTCTCCCTGCTCGCTGAACCACCCCACTCTGCCTTCTCTGTCTCCATCTGGTACTGCAAAAACTGCCTTATACCTGTTAAGGGAATGGACCTTTCTCCATCACTACTTGCAGAAAATATCTGAAAATAGCTCCAGCTATTCACCAGTGTTCATACACTTTGTCTTTGCAAAAAGCAAGAAAAAAAATCCTCATGTGCGATTTGTTGAGTTGTTTGCAATGCAGAGTGATGCCAACTATGTAGTTTCAATTCCTTCACTGTCTGAGGTTACCATGAAGGATTCTCCATCTTAACTTTTCCTCTCACTTAAGGAGTGATGACTCCCAGGTTAAATGACCACCAGCTCTCTCTTTCTCTTTCTCTCGCTCTCTAATGAGAGTACGACCTATAGTCTGGTAGGACAAGGTTTAACTTTACTTGAACCAAAGTGAAAGTCACATGACAGAGGATTATGGATTGTATGCTGGATTTCTCAATTGATAGGTGGTCACGTGCATGCAGCTGACAGGGAACATTGTTTCCCTGCAGTCAACCAACATAGTTATATGGGAGCAACTTATGCAGATTCACTTCAAATCACTGATGATGAACAAGAAGAAATGCAGCAAAAAGACGAAAAGCTGGCAGGAGCAATACCAGCTGCAGCATCATTCCTCAATAACATACTACTCCACAGAATACAGGAGCTGAGCACAGCAATAGTCTAAGGGAGGTGATATGCATAATGTAGTGTATTACAGACAGAGGATAGGCTTTGAAGACATGACTAGGCAGCAGTGTTTCGGAAAGTTCTGATTTTCTCAATGTAATTACTGACCTCTACGGTCTCCTGGAACAAGAGCTCCTTCCAAGTTGGTAAGGTGGGAATACATTGACTAGATCATCACAACCATGTAATTATTTACCTCTGGCTTCTTCCTGAAATATGGTCATGATATTTGCAGTGTTTCGTGGTCTGCTGCACTTAAGTGCCTATCCCAGGTGACCAGTGCTATTTTTAGTTAGTCACTGTTTATGTTTTTTTTACTGATGAAGATAGTCATCATTGAAATTGTGGATTAGAGTCTTATGTAAGTTTGAAAAATACATGAAATGTAAAACATACAACTATTATCTGTCTCTTTTTATTTTCTCACTTTTACTCCAATCATTCCTTCCCTTTGATTATTTCTCTTTCTGCACCTGATTTAACTAATTCCCACTATTTCTTTCTCCATTATTCCTCCTTCTTCTCCTCGATCCAGAAACCTCTTGGTTGATGAGACATTTTCTTTTCCTCCATTCACAAGTGTCCCAGATACTCCATTGATCCTGTCATGTCATTATCAGAAAGACAAATTTTTGCAGCCAGAAGTTGAGGGAAAATATGATGCCTCATTCTGGAAAAGTCAAGACCAAAATGACTGCAGCAGTTTAAAACTCCTTCTCGAAAGCAAAAATAGCAGCCTTGTCAGCAATGTCAATGTCCTGCAAAGGAATTTTTTAGAAATGCTTGCCCGCATTTAAGTGAATCTAATCTACTTTCAATCCCATACATGCTGGCTCGTATATTCTCTGGTGTGCAAGGACACAAATCAGTTCGGATCCAGAGGACTCAGGTGAGTATCTAGGTGGTATGGACTTGAGGAAAGAGTTGAAGGGTTTGTGCTCTGAGATGTTGAATGCATTCTTCAGCCTGCTAGACAGCCTCCTGTTGCTATTAAAGATCGTGAAGGAGTCTGGCTCCAAGTCTGGCGGAGGGCGAGGCAGAACTTGACATCTCAGCAGCTGCTGTTCCATCATTTTGTGGTTTTGCAGACCCAGAGGTGCTGCCATTGCTACCCCCATATCTCTTTAAGGACAGGTCACCTGGGTCTCTCCTTCCCTGTAAGGATAAAACAACACTCTGGCAAATCTAAGAAACTTATAGCACTACCAAAAACACTAAAGAGTATTTCCAGATAGTTACCTGTAATTTTTGGTGTGTGGCCCTTTAAGGAATGTTAGTGTAGTGACTATTTTATAACTTCACACTTGTTTGTTGAGTGATTGACACTAATTGTTTGGCCCTGTGTGATCTAAATTTGGTAGTTCTGATGTTGCAGCTGTTGGTTAGGTTGTGCAATGTCAGAATAGCACATGTTCGTACCCTTCTGACACATGAAGCCCCCTCCATGGACACTTTTTCTAATAGAATACTGCACGGGAAGCAAAGGAACTAGCCCATAGTGCATTGATTCCATCCCACTCCAACCCTCCAACCCCACCCAACAAAGCAAATCAATTTTAGACCTGGAGAACACAGGTTCCAATGGGATTATGGCAATTAATTGAATGCCTACAGTGACAGATAAATTAGTAAGTGTCAATGCAATTGCATTAGATTTCTGTTCCGAGTAAAATCTCATCATGTATTCTGTGATCTTTTTACAGTGAAATCACATTGAGTCTAATCTGGATGACGCAAAACTCCGATTCTGTTGACATCATCAGGCCTTCAGGAAAATAACAAATTTATTAGAATGATGCCTGTGAAAAGCCAAAATTGCAAATTGTTAACTCCGAAATAGCCAAACCTATGCAAGCTTGTCATATGACTGCACCAAAAAAGTGGAGTGGGAGTTAGGCCACTCAACAGCATGAAGTCATAGAGCACTGGGCATGTTATCATTTGCCATTGAGATCTCCCTGTGAAAGGATATACAAAACCTGCAAATATGGCTAAACCTCTGAGAAAGTTAGAAATATTGTCAATCGGAGAGAAAGTAAAGTTGAGACTGCAAGTGGAAAACTGTGGCGTGAAGCGAAAAATGGATGTTGTGAAGAGTGGGAGATTCTACCGTTGAGTTTGTCAACCATTTTGAAATGCAAGGCAAACATCTCGGAACAGTTCAACAAGCGGACATGCTCCCCAGCAAGCAAGATGAACAGAATGGTTACCAATCCCGATGTTAAGGAACCTCTTTTAATGGGGTTCAGGCAATCCAGAACGTTTCCAACTCGAGTCTAATCCTGCAGGAATGCTGAGTTGCCCTGGCAAAGAAACTAGGCTTCATTGACCGATGGCTGGACTGATTCAAGATGAGACACAGCGTCATCTTCTGTGCAGACTGTCTGAAGACAGCATGCTAAGCAATAATTATGACTGGGTTTTTATGGAACCAACTTCCAAATGTTAGGCAATTGTAAAGTGTGACCAAATTGAATAATATGGGGTTTTGTTTACATAAAGCTGGCTTCTAGGCAAGTCAGGTTTCATGGGGCTCCTCGGCTATCTTGAAGCTCTGCATAACACACGTTTGTTTGCAGATCCCTTGGGATTTGACTTATCAGGATTTTACTGTATTCACATAAGCCTGTTGATTATGTAAGTCACTTGTTCCTGCTCTTGGCAATTTCTCTAAAGTTGCAGAATTGGAACAATGTCAGGATTTCAAATGTTGGAAAAATGTCAGTTCATTGGCATTAAAAAGCAGACAGACAAACAAATAATAAGTGACATCAATCGAGCACTGGCATACTAACAATATGAACTAAGCTCAAATTCTAGTCTTGATGTATATCCCCACTCAGGATTCTCTTAGCTGATGAGTTTCATCTTTTGTCTCATCGTTGAGTAAGAACAAAGTGCCAAGAGAACTTTCTTTTGTGGGATAAAAACAAAACAGAGGTTGCTGGAAACCTTAAATAAAAATCAAAAGTGTGAGAAAAGTTCAGCATACCTGGCAGCATCAGTAGAAAGAGAAACAGAGTTAACACTGTCCAAAATGGCTTCTGAACTGTTCGAAATTCTTGAATGGGACTCTGGATTCCAGTGTATTGCCACAAGGACGTCCAGAGCTGAGGCCACATATTTTCCTTTTATAGATTCTGTTTCTGCACTGTATATGCAAGTCTTAAACTACCTTCTTGGGAACATAGCCCATATCACATGCTTGATCCCTTGCATTGCAATATTAGACAAGTACAGCCCCTCACATGTGATGAAAAATTTGTTCCTGATGTGAGTATTAGCCCTGACATGCATTTAGAAACTGAAAAGCAATGGAGATTGGGGTTGACAGGGTTGGGGAGGGCTGTTGGGTTGCTTATATTGAGTATAGGCCTAAACAAGTATTTTCCCATCCAAAAACAGAGGTCATTCGACATTTGAGGCCTATAGTAATTCAAACTTGTGGCTCCTTTGTATAGAATAGTGGATATAGTTGTACAGTCAAAATTCAGCTGAACCGCTACACTCCCCTACAAAACTACCATTGTAAATCACTGTATATATTCTATGCCATCGCTCAGGAGGCGGGTGTGTGGTTGGTTGCTGAACAGAATAGGAATCATTTGGTTGTGGATGGAAATTGTTTTTATTGTTCAGAGCATCTGAGGTTTGAGTCCAACGGCAGTTTAAATGCACACACTCATAAAGAAACAATTGTTGATAAACAATAAAGGAAACAAGAACACAATTGTAGTTCATTTGATGGTGTAATTGATGCATTTAGTCTTACATAATTCCTACTTACATAAATTAATACAACATACTTCTTCAGACCTGTTTATTTGGTTCAGTTGTAAATACATGACTCATAAGTTGGGATCATGTACTTGATGTTAATGAAGGCATCTTCTCCTCCATAGAGCTCAAAGATCTCCAGAGTCTCCTGAATCAGGTCTCCAATGTTTTCTCTTTTTTGTTGGCTGTAGTCAATGCCATCTCCTGTATTGACTAGGGTTTAAAAGAAAAACACAAGGAAAAGTAGCAATAAAATCTGGTTGTGTGCCAGCACTTAAATTAGTGTCACCTCTTCTTTCAAAAGAACTACTTTCAAGTTTCAAAAATTCATATTCAACTAACTGGCAATCTTTGTATGGTCTAACTAATTTATATACAAGACCAGCAGTAAAGAAGAGCTGAGTAGTTTTGGCTAACTTGGTTGGCCTTGCACCTGTAACTGTAAGTAACAATGAAGATCTGTTTAGGATTGAAATGCCAAGAAACCCCTGATTGTTTTGGTTTCGTTAGCAGCATCCACAACTCATACACGATGCACATTATTGAGTGTTTATGGTAACATTAGAAAAGGTTTTAATATCTGTCTATTTTGTCTCAAAAAAACCCAGTGATGACACATAAAACACTTGTTGTAAATTTTGTTGTGTAAATTAAATATTCCAATACAATGTTTTCAGACTTTAATAACTGGGAGTTTTTGTTAGGCTTTCACAGAATAGTGGGTCTGCACTTCTGTGCAAGTTTAAAAAAAAAATTGCCAAATTTAAGGTATAGCAACGGTTAAGATGCAACAAAAACTCTGACATGAAATTAGTCAACTTACTCCATGTTTGAGGTTCTGACACATCTAGAGAGACATAAACACTGAGTGAGCTTTTAGTTTTAAAGCAAGTTCAGCTCCGCAAATAGATCATGATTGTATTGCTCATAATGCATCACAATGTTCTACTGTTATTCCAGTAGTGCACAACATACTACTACTACTGCTCGTTTTACTTTTGTTTCACATTTCTGCTAATAGGCACTCTTCTATGACTCTTAATTGCTATTCTTGACTGCTACATTGCTCTTTGTCAATTCAACCCAACACATTTGTTTTCTATAATTACAATCAATGAATGATTTGGGGGAGTTCTGAACTTTTACCTAGTTTCAGTTTGTCAATGAATTGACAGACATTTAATGATAAAAAGATAGTAATGTTGTCTGTGTTCATTTATACTGAAGTCAAAAATTTGTAGAACTGACACTCTGACACAAGTGCCAGATGCATCTGTACATGACAGGCACTGATGCTACCAAAGAAACCTGAGCTATCTAATGGTTATGGATATACCTCTGGTCTGCAAAATCTTTAATCATTAATGGGAAGAGGGTGTCGCTGGCTAAGCAGCAAAACAACCCAGGAATTCTAGAGTAGAGTGCTGGCTGTTGTAAAGGGTTTAAAGCTTAAAATTTTAAAGATCTTTGATGAAGAAATAGGAATTTCCTGTGCGAAGAAACCAGTGTTTAAAGGCTCACAATTTAAAATGATCAGCAATCGAGTAAACGGAGAGGTTAAAAAAAATGCCATTATTCAGGATTTTGTTAGATCACGGATGACTGCTGGAGGTTGAGGCCAAGACCATTACAATTTTAATGAATAATTGTATATGTATTTGAAGCAGAGGAAGATGCAGGGCTATGGGGATAAAGTGAGATTGCTCTAGCAAAGAATCAAGTTCAATGGACTCAATGGCCTCTTTGTTTCCTTTCTGCAGTATAATTATCTATTGTTAGGATTGCACTCATTTGCCTACCCTGCCTTTATGGTGGAATATTATTGAGAAAAGTTGACAAAAAGATGATTATGGTCAATCTTTTGAACTTAGCATTATTATGAGGATTCTGACTTGGTTTTTGTGGGATATGGGGAAGTGGGAAAAAGCTGCTCTTCTGAAGTATCTCAGCCTGTGTGATAGCCCTGTAGAGGTCCTGTTTATTTAGATGCATGCCATGTTCTGAGATTGAATGCTATGCGCACACAGTATTGCGTTGACCTTCCTATGAGCTGACTACAAATGAGTAAGAAGTAGACACTGATTGTAGTTTTACTGTTCGTTGCAGTTGCTGATTGGGAGGTGGGTAGGAGGCAGTAAGTGGGTATGTTTTTTCTCTACAAGAAACCATTGTAAAGTGGAAAGCAGTCGGATGCCAATGGCTGTCATGAGTATTGAAATTGCAACAATGTGAAAGAAAATTGCCATATTCAACAGTCTATACTTTGGTTATTTCCTATTTTTATTCAGTATTGTACAGTACAAAACCTTGTACAAGAATAGTTTTAAAATAATATGAATAAATTTACGGAGTACTGCTTCAAATCATTTTGCACTGAATATTTATTTGGGTTTAAGTACAAGAGAGTTAATGGCTACTTGAAGATTTATAGAACCTGAAATGTTCAGTATAGGTTTGAACTAGTCTTTTCTTTTTAAACCTTACAACATAGTTTGCAATATGCATGAAAACAATTATTGATATAGACATATTTTAATATATTTGCACTTGGTCATCTTCAGTTCAGATCACATTTTGCAGCATCCAATGCTTTGAGTTGTCTGTTCCCATGAAATCTAAAAGGAAAATTTTGGACCCTGATTCCCAACCTATGTGTGAGAAAGATTATATTGTGGACAAGGACTAATTCTTATGATGTGGTTACATCATACTTGAAAGCACAGAGTACACTGAATAAGGAGAAGACTTTTGTTGCACTGTTGCAGTGCTTTGTAGGCTGGATTCAATCTAGATCTCATTAATCACAAAGCTGCAGAAATATTTGTAGACAAGCACCATTGATAATCTCTGCAGAAACAAACATCCAGATTTTAACACCAGGAAGGAATTGCTTAGGTGATAGGAGGGTCAAGATTGACAGGATACAATCATGGTTTCTGCTTTGTGAAGCTTAGGAGTTTAAGGTAGTCTCCTTCGTGAATTTACACCACTGAGCACAAAATAAAACAAAATTGAAATACATCAACAGCTTAATCAACTAACTGCTGATTTGCTTGCCACCCACTTTTCCTTATTCTGCACTAGGCACAACTTTTAATTAAAAATTGCGTGCAGCTAATTGTTTCATAAGAGCCTGTTTTAATATGTTTATGAGGCTTCCACCTGCCTGCAGTGTGCATCTCAGCTGCTTCAAGTAAGTAATCAAAATGATGGTGCATGACAGTGCGTTGAGAATGCAGTCGCAAGTCTTGAAACCATTTCAGTGCCTACCCCATTTCTAACTAGTCGGCATCAGAACTCAATTGTGAATAGGCAAGGAAGAAACAAATTTTTTTGTATTACTACTTCAGCCATCAACAACTTATTGCTTTCCTAGCAAATAGAAGTGAATGTGTAATTACTAAAAAAAACTGTTAGTCTGCTTATCTGGGAGTACATCACTGTCAAAATTTATGCAATTGTGCAACCTTCAGACTGAAGTGATTCTACTTAGTCAAAGTGTAATGGCAACTTTAATTATACTCACAGAGAATGCTATGTCTTGCCTGTTATTATGTGTGTAAATTGCAAAGTGAATTTCATTTCAGCAAACCTTGATATTTATTTTATCCACAAAAAAAATTCCTTGATCATTAGGCCCCTTGGAAGGCTTATCTGAGAAAATTATGGATAACATACATTTGTTTCTTCCCTATAAAACATGAATTAAAACCAGATTTATATTTGGCTAACATGAAAATTAAAGCCATCAAACCTAAAAAGGTTATTAATAATGGATCCTGCTATGGCAGAGATAATTTATTGTTGCTACCTATCCCCCTGTTGCTAAGTGTCATTGGTGAAGTTACTTTCTGTCACAGGTAACTTCCATGCCCCAACAGCTTTTGTGCAACATAATTTTAACAAGAAGAAAGTGAATATTTCTTCCACAATTAGCTGTTTAAAATTTTAGTCCACCACACTCTACCAACTGAGTTTAGTAAATTCACATAATTATACACTTCCTCACAATTTTCCTCAAGTTTTGCTTGTCATGCATGGTCCCCTCATTTGAATATCTGAAAAGGCCTCTGAACATGAGCAGACTATTAAGGAAGGAACTTATGAGACTTTGTCCTTAATTTGCAGCAGATATCTAGAGAAGCACACAAAGCAGAATTGATCATAGCTTGAATGAATGAATGAATGAATGATTTATTGTCATGTATATTTTACAGTGAAGTACAATAAAATACAGTGAAAAGCTTTCATTTGTCACCATAATCCAGTGATAGTTAAAGAAAAACAGAAAACAGAAAGATATAGCTTAAAGAGAAATCCATCCAAACACAAGTTCTGAGCTAGTTCAGAACCACCACTGCCTTGCCAGACACAACTAACATTGAAGTTGCCGATCTGCAGGCACCATCTTTCATTGTTGGGTCTAATCACCTTCGCCACTGCCCACACCGGGCACACCAAAGTTGGAGACTATCACTGCAGTCAGTGTTGTCATGGTGCCGTCGCCAAGTTAACCCTTCCTCTTACAGCTTGTCCTTCTGCCTTGGTGACACTCCAATGTGAAATGCAGTTCTGTAGTACTGTTGCTAGTGAGATCATGAAGACTATTTGCATTCTTCATGCACCCACAATGTGCATTTGGTTGCTGGCCATGGCCTGTGCATCATTAGTAAACTGCACTGTCTCACACAGATACATTCCCTATATGCACCTAAATGAAAGTTTGATATTATCATTTCAGTGATTCAAATTGGCTGATGCAATGTAGCATACCAAATTTGATCAACGCATACAGTGGTAGCATCTTAGAAATACACATCTAGACAACAAATGTTATGAGGCAAGGTAGGCCCTGTTCAGGGGAGTGAATGTAAAATATGAATAGTTGTAGTCCCAAAATGGACAACTCCACCAGTCTCCAGCTGTGATCCTGAAAAAGGCCCCTTTAACTTATTCTTTGTCTTCTGCCAGTCAGCCAATCCTCTATCCATGCCAGCACCTTGCCCCTAACACCTTGGGCTGTTATCTTATTAAGCAGCCTCCCACATGACACTTGTTAAAGGCCTTCTGGAAATCCAAATATATCCGGTTCTTTCTTGTCTAACTTGCTTGTTACCTCCTCAAAGAATTCTAACATTTTTTAGGCATGACCTCCCCTTGACAAAGCTGTGCTGACTCAACCCTATTTACCATGCACTTCTAAGTACTCTGCA